ATGCTTGATTTGGAACGGCCCGTTCCCAAAGTGGAACGGCCCGTTCCAGAGCTACAAAAATCCAGGACTGTTAATTAATAAATAAATAGTTAACACACACATATATATATATATATATCAAATTAAAATAAAATATCAAAACAATTTAAAACATGATTTTCTTCAAATAATAATTATAACAAAATATCATAATTAATAATATTATACAAAATAATTTTCATAAATGATTATTATTAAAACCTTTAAAACTTCAATCAAACCCTTTTAATTAATCAAAATAATTATAAGAAAATAATCTTCATAAATACAAAAATAAATAATAATTATTCATTGTATTAGTAAAAAAATTCGGGGTGTTACACTAATCATTCAACATCTTAACAACCCTATCATTCCTCCAAATCCTTAGAATTCAAACTCTTCTATACCTACTACCTCTTTTATGCTAACTACCCCACCAACCCCACCTTAGCTTCCCAATTTAGTCCACCTACCACAAATTCTTCTATGGAATCACCATCTACTACTCTCATTCAATATCCCTCCTCAACTACACCATCACAAGAGTGATGGACCAAATACACAAGCCTAACCCAAAATACCATTTACTACCTTCATTGGAACCAACATTTGTTTCTCAAGCTCTTAAATCTAGTGCATGGTGTGATGCTATGAGCACTACTAGAAAAGTTAAAATTAGAGAGGGAACAAAATCCGTCACTAAATATGTTAAAATCTGCCACAAAATAAATTAGTGACGAAATTTGTGACAAAACTGATTTCGTCAACAAAATTGGCGTCACTAAATATTTAGTGACGGATAATTTCAGTCTGTCACAATCAGTGACAGAATTAAGGCATCACAAATTCCGTCACTAATTTATAATATTAAATGTTCATAAATTAATAAATTTTCGTCACAAATTGTGACGAATTTAGTGAGGGACTTTTTTCCGTCACAATTTGTGACAGATTTATTTCATCACAAATTTGTGACGGAATTTGTGACAGATTAACTCTGTCACAAATTTGTGACGAAATTTGTGCCTCTTATTAACGCTACACGTTGATAGGGATGTTGGCCTCTCAAGAGTGGTTTATTTTACGATATTTCACTTTTTTAATTGTGTTTTATCCTTGCTTGCACAATTTCTGGGAGATTTTTCAAAAGGTCACCCATCCCAACATTACTCCAAGTCAAGCACGCTTAACTGTGAAGTTCTTATGAGATAAGCTACCAAAATGTATATGCATATTGTCAGTATAACTTGTACAAATTAATTCATTTAAGTCATATTCAACTATACAATCTCATACTTGTACTATAATAATAATATATAATAATTTTATATTACCCATAATAATAATAATAATAATAATAATATATTTAATTAATCTTTATTTATATATACTTACTTTTATAATTAACAATCTACTTATTTCTAT